GTGTATTAAGCAATCTGTACATATAAACAGATCGCAATTCAGCTCCTGTACAGTAGGTTTATACCTCAGCTAACTAGAACCGCCGTCGCTCTTTTTCCTCCCAGCGCCCATTAGTTCAGTTGCTATGACAACGGTAAATAAAACACAAAAGTGAAAGGACTAGTAACAGAGTGTTCCACCATGTCTGTAGTTCTAAAGAGCAGCTCAGAGGGGCAGACAAAAGTCTACGTCTATTTGGAGTCAGACTTTTGTTTTGAGTTGAATTTGGCTCGTTTTGTGTTAATTATGTCGCCACAGTTACTCGAAATGCCAACAAAAGCAATAGCTCCCCTCACGGATCGAGGCGCACGTTTTGATGTATATATTGTGAAGGGGGCATGCAGCGGTACGAGCCGCATTAACGGTACCAGGAAGAGGCAGTTATTTTGAGGTGTAGAACAATAGGTGCCTGCCTATGCATTGCTACGGCAGGCCCCAATAATAACGGTCCTGAATTAGCTGGAGCTCCACATAAGTAGCATCACCTGGAAGGGAGGAACGCTGCATGTAGGCTGGAGTTCTGACTGGATCTACAGGTTCTGACTGGTTCTGACTTGGTTTCCTGGTTCTGACTGGATCCCATGATCTGGTTTTTATAAAGGTAAGAGGTTCTGGTTCTGTGAGATGATCTGGATCAGAACCAGTCCATCCATCCATCAGCTCAGTCCGTCTTTGTTCTGAACTTTTATTAAAAAAAATGACCAAAACTGAAATAAAAAAACTGATATTTCCAGTGAAATGTGAAAAATGATGGAATCCTGAGCGTCGGATGCGATTCCTGTCAGATAATAGGTTTGTAAACAAATCAATAATGTGATAATCCTGAGCAGAATCTGGGTTTCAGTTCTGGTTTGTGTTGGGTTAACACAAAGATATGTCTGACTGTGAGATGTATTCCTCGGTTTTGTTTTTCCTGTTCAGGGCACGAATGCTAAAGGAGGCAGGAGTAACTGTGAAGAAGCCGTGGCTGACCAGGAGAAAGAGACTGAAGCAGGTGGGACTCCTCTCCATGCAGAGCAGTTACCACGGTAGCCATCCTCACCAGGATGAAGATGGCCGCTGAGTCGCACTAAAGGGCTATTCCGCCTCGTTTACTAAAGCTGTACCACTGTTAAAAACATAGAGCTGCTGATTTTAACCTTACTCATTCTAAAATTAACACCAATGTTTTAAAAAATTAGGTTCAAAGTCATATTTTCACCATTTTATTTATTTATTCATTCATAAATATTGGTTTCAAACTAAAAGCTAGAAAGCTACATATTTAGCTCCATAAACATTGTGCTTCCTTAATGCTAACTCAATATTTAGCCAACTCAGAGCTAAATATTTACCTTGGAATTCAATAGTTAATATGCTAAATATTTGGCATATATGTAGAACACTAAATAGTAAAATATTTAGTTTGTTTCTAAAGTAAATATTTAGTTTAGAAATATTCAGCTTTCTAACTAAATATTTACATTCAAGCTAAATAGTTAATAAACTACATACTGTAGTTTGTTAAATATTTAAAAACTAAATAAATATTAGTTTATTAATATTTGGAGCTAAATATTTGGTAGATAAACTGAATAGCTTGCTAACTAAATATTTATTTAGTTTCAAATCCAAACCATAAATTTATGAATGAATAACATGGTGAAAATATGATTTTGAAAACTAACACTTTTTATGACAGTTTATTAATTTTTTTACTATATTGCTTAACAAAATCACCCTGTAAAACCTGCAAACCAAGAAACTCAACCTTGAACTGGATTATTTTACATAATTTACAGATTTTTAGTAATTCTAGTTTATGATTATTTTAGTTTCTTTGTGAAAAGACAACTCCTGATTTTAGGACTTTTAAACTGTCTCTCAGTGTAAAGCAGTGCAGTAACAGTTTGATCGTTATCTAAGCAGAAGGTTTTATAGAGTTGGTAAATGCAGCAGAATCGCTCTTTAGTGCTGAATGTCGATGTTCTTGTTTTCGCTCAGGAGCTGCGTCTGAAAGCTGGGATGAAGCCACGCCCCTTTCTCACCTGGCCACAGAAACCCTCAGCTCACCTGGTCAGTTCGTGTTTCTTCATCCTCCTGCTGCAGGTGAAATACAGGAAGATAAACGTTACTGTCAGTGAGGTCTGACTGAGACTGAAGAGAAAACCATCCACTCTGCTATGCAACAAAAACTAGTAAACGAGTTTTTAGATTAGTAGATTAGTTCAGATTAATTGATTATGGAAATAATCGTCAGCTAATTTAGAAATCAATTAATCGTTAATTGGTGTATCCAGACTCTAAAAAACGATCATTTGCTGAAAAAACACACACAGAGCAGTAAATAAGCAAAACTGGGTTTCCCTCCTATGGTGCCTTCAGGTACTGTTGGACACCAAACCTTATGTCAGTTCTACAACGACTACTGTCCTAAATCCTAGAAAAAGTCGATAAAATGTAATTATTGTCAGGATTTTAACGTTATTCACCTCAAAAAGTGAAGAAATGAAACGTATTTCATTTTATTTTGCGGGAATTGGACCCGGAAACGTGAGGAATATTAAACTCTGCTGGGAGACAGGTTAACTCTGTGTTTGTTACTGCAGACCAGGAAGAGTCGGGTCCGTTGACCAAACCTCATCTTTCTCTCACTGCAATGACAAAAACCAACTCAGATGCTCCGGTGAGCACGCCGTCTCCCACTGCTGTGGCCCAAACCAGCAAGGAATCCCAGTCCAAACCAGAGGAGTCGACTGTAATCAACGGTGAGTGGAAACATGGCCTCTGCCTTTCTGATGTAATGAAATAAAACCTGAAATCTGTTTGCTCCTCTTTCAGACTCTTATGAGCCGCAGCCCCACCTGCCTGTCACAGCCATGAGCACCAAACCCGGCCTGGAGGGATTCCTCGGTGCCAAACCCGTTTACTCTCCAGCTTCAGGGCGGAAAGCCGCAGCAGACCATTTATTTATCGGAGGTCGGTCACACGGATCTGCAGCTGACATGATCAGGATGTTTGATTCAGTCTTCCTGTTTCCTCCAAACTGTTTCAGTTTGAAAACAACCTCACATGAGGGCTGCAGCTAACAGTTATTATAATATTTGATTATTCTGACGATTAATCATGAAATCAATCTATTATTTGGACGATTAATCAATTAGTCTGATGATTAATTAAAAATTAATCAATTAATTCAAATTAATATATTTTTCTGATAATTAATTGTAAAAATAGATTATTCTGACAATTAATCGATTAATTTGATGAATAATCGGCAGAAAAATCCTGAATCCTCAGAAAAATGAATTATTCTGATTGATTAATCAAATTGAAAAATCACATTCTGCTGATTTTCATTTAAGCCTCTTTATAAAATAGAAATGCATTGAAAGATTTGAATCCTTTTTTAAATGAGAAAATAAGCATTTTATTGCCTAATAGTCAATACTAGCATTATTTTAGCTTTATCATTTGTAGCAAAGGAAACATATGCAGCCAGAAATCATGCGAGAGGTTTATGCCAGTGGATGCAAAGTGCTAAGTTTCTAATTTATTTACAGGAATAGCATCATAAATATATCATGGCAGAAATATTTCTCTCTCTACTTCTGTTGCAACCTGGTAGAAAATGTCAATCTGTTGTGACTCTCCCATCTTTTAGAGTCACATCTACTGTCATTCTAAAATCAGAGATTCAGCTGACCACGTGGAATACAACAAAATGGTCGACCAGTAGTAGAGCCAGAAGCCGATTCTCTGTTCATAAATATATAATCTTTTGTTATATGTGGATCTAAAGCCTGTGAAACACCGACACTGAGTCTTCTGTATTTCTGCAGGCGCTCCCGGAGCAAAGGATCCGATCTCCCAGAATCCCCGGGATCAGTCCGACTCTGAGGCTTCGTCCCATCTTCCCATCGCTGCTGCCACCAGAATCCCGTCAGATGTTCCTGCAGCGCCTAAATCTGATCAGACCGCCGCATCTCGCCTCAATCCTTCAGCGCAGGAAACGCCAGCAGCGCCGAAGCAAACGGATCATCCAGTCAGACGTGGTGCGGAGAGTCGGCTCCAGTTTCTGCCTCCTGGTTCATGTGGGGAGTTTGTTTTAAACCAGTTTACATTTTAATTTTTAGACGTGAACGAACCCAAACACCACCTGCCACTCTCCGCCATGACCAAGCCGAACACAGAGTCGGCCATTTCTGCTCCGTCTCAGTCTCTGTCAGCATCACTGGACCTCACAGTGAAACCAGGGGAATATCCCTTTAAACGAGGCGAGTTTGGCTCCAGCCAGCAAAACATTTAAGGTGCTTTCACTCCAGTCCGCTCTAATGAAACTCCAGTCCGCTCTAATGAAACTCCAGTCCGCTCTAATGAAACTCCAGTCCGCTCTAATAAAACTCCAGTCTGCTCTAATCCAACTCCAGTCCGCTCTAATCCAACTCCAGTCCGCTCTAACCCAACTCCAGTCCGCTCTAACCCAACTCCAGTCCTCTCTAACCCAACTCCAGTCCGCTCTAACCCAACTCCAGTCCGCTCTAACCCAACTCCAGTCCGCTCTAACCCAACTCCAGT